GAAAGGGAATAGCTATTGAAAAAATTGTGAAAATAGTTATAAGATATGGATTAGAATGTATAAGATAAATATGCATTGAGTTTATGTCTGTATGGAGAAGTGATAACCCGGGGCCACGCTCTTCTCAAAAAAAGATTTTATTTGTATTTGTATGTTTTGTGAAAACTTAAATAAAACTTTTATTTAAAAAAAACCAGAATCCAGGTTTCTGATTTCTAGTGAAGATAGCTATTAATACTATAATGTTTAGCAGTACAAGTGATTTTATTTAGTGTACAGTTAACGAGTGCAGTACAATTAAGTTTGGTCTTAAGGAATCCTAGTTTGGACTATATCACTATAACCAGTTCCACATTGTCAAAATAAATCCACGTATTCAGCAAAAGGCACAACAAATGGATGACAGCCATCCAAAGTTACCTTGAGGTAAGATTGGCAGTCCATAAATTTTTCAAATAAATAAACATCTGCAGGGCTGTATATCGGAGCTGTCTTCCTGCACTGGCACTAAGCAATAGAAGTTGACTTGAGTTTTAACCTAGGTGCACACCTGAAGCAAGTGTTTTTGATATCTGTCCAGCTATCAGTACTTCTCACTGCCAAGGAATGGAATGGTTGTTGAGCAGCCTTCCCTCACAACTGTCATTGTCTGCTAACTGGCACAACAGAAACTGTTTGAATTGTTTTAGGGTACTGTGTTCATGCTGTTGACAAAACATCCTGTAATAGGTGGTGTTGATGGCAGCAAACAGCTTCAAAGTTGCATATTGCACTATCTTGCATGATGCAGCGATTGTACTTCCTAGCCATGTTGTTGTGAGACCCCAAGGCTTCTACTTCCTCTGGGAAAGTATGTGCTCCTGAACTCAAAAGTTTTGGATGTCCAGCAAGGTCAAATCATAAAGTAATAATGATGTTCACCATATTGGTGGCCAGTAGCTGCTGCCTTCCTGTTTCATCTACCATCAGATTTCCCAGTATCTAGGGGAATTAGGTAGTTAGTGAAATATCCCATTGGTCCACACAACATCAAACCTTTGCTCTTTGCATCTGTTAAAGAAGTTGCTTGTACTATTTTGCTAAGGATGGAAATCATTTGTTAAGAATTCATTCTGTAAGAGAATTGTATTCTTTTCTATCGGGTTTCTCGCCTCTGCAATTTGCTTCAGAGCTAGTCACATCCTTGAAGACAATTCCCACAAACATCCTGCTAAGGGGGGGGGGCTGCCCAGGAGCATGAACACACAAAGACAAGGGATACTGTGTGTTGTAATGACGAGTTGTTTGATCATGAACAACTGAATCATGATGATCTTTATTGGAGTCTAGTCTTGCATTTATACACATTTTTAGTTACCCTCCATCACTGGTTAACTTTGGTTACTGCTTAACTTTCATTACTGTTTAGCACAGTAATCCATACAATTAATTATCTCTAGTTAAAGTCTAACATATGTTTACTTCCTCTCTCTAATCCTCCTTTAGATTAGTGACTTTGTTTACCTGAGTTGTATTTGCTTGGAAACATTCTTTATCTGAGGTTTGCCATCCGAGATTGGAACATTCCTGCAATTACAACTCTACAACTGTGTAAAATAACAAAGTATGGACAGAGCACGGACAAAGAACGCTCCATGGATAAAGAAGGGGAGGGCATGGGCAAGACGTTGCTCACATTAATAACGAACCTTTGTCTCTGATTGGATAAACTTAGTTTCTATCAGTATGTAATACTCTGAGCCACTCCCGCAGGGTGTGGCTATTCTTTACATGCATTTTGTCTGTATGTTTTGAACATAGGATTCACCCGGACTTTTTGCTTTGGCCAAAGAATAAAAAAGCTGTTATTTGCAAGCCTCATCTCGACTCTCACTCTTTGGCATCTCCATGGCTCGGGGAAACTTCTGGGACCTTACATTACTATCAAATGTAACTAAAACATGATGGATGGGACAACAACCCAAGCAAAATATGTTTTGAATGTTACACTTAAGATCATATGCAATTGCTCTCCTAGGTGGTACACCAATGGTTGTAAATTTTCTGATCCTAACTCTGCAAAATGCTAGTCCTATGGGACAAATATGACCTCCCTTTAACCTCATCTCTTGCTTTTTCCCCATCTGTGTTGTTTTACATGTAGACCTTGACTTAACGGCCATAATGGTTGTAAGTCATGAGGGTTATAAAGCAGGTCACCACATGACCAGACCCACTTTTACAACCTTTTTTTCAGTGGTTGTCAAATGATTGCCGTGGTTGTTAAGTGAACTCTGCAACTGTTAAACAAACCAACTGAAGTGAATGCTATTTTTTGGTCAAAAGCATAAAACGCAGTCACACAATTGCAGGATGCTACAAATGCCCATAATGAGGGCTGATTGCTAAGCACCCAAAATATAGTCATGTGACCATGGGCAGGTCACCTGTTAGAACCCGGTTGTAAGTAGCTTTGGGAAAGGGAGGAATCTGTCATAAGTCAAGGACTTACCTATATTCTCCGTTCAATCATTATTTTCTTGCTCTGTGCTATCCGCTGCTGTTCCACAGTCCACCCAATTCTCTGCCCTATTCCAACTCAGACAGGTAGTCCTTAACTTACAACCACAATTGAGCCCAAAATTTCTGTTGCTCAGTGAGGCAGTCGTTAACTGAATTTTACCCCATTTTTTGACATTTTTGTCACAGTTATTAAGGAAATCACTATAGTTGTTAAGTGAATCAGACATTAAGTGAATCCAGCTCCTCCCATTGACTTTGCTTGTTGGAAGCCAGCTGGGAAGGTTTCAGATAGTGATCACATGAACCTAGGAAGCTGCAACTGCCACAGATACATGCCAGTTGCCTTAAATTTGATCATGTGACCAAGGGGAGGCTACAATGGTCTTAAGTGTGAAAATTGGTCACAAGTCACTTTTTTTCAGGGCAGTTGTAACTTTGAATAATCACTAAATAAACGGTTGAAGTCATGGGCTACCAGTATACAGGCACTTTTCCATGTAAAGTTTGATGTTACGATGGACCCTGAAAAAGCTACTTACAACCCCGATTCAAAGCTCCAGCTTCAGCAGGGAGAGAATAATGAAAAAGAAAGCATGAAGGGTTCTTGGCCATAAAATGAAATTTTAAAAAAACCAATGAGTGAGAGATGACATCACACACTAAGAAGTGTTGAGCTTTAAATGAGAAGAGCTGCAAAAGGTAGAAAGAAGAGCTAATCACTTCATCTAATGAAAACAATACTGTGAAAAGATGGATTGAGGTAATTGAAAGGTTCTTCATACCTCCCCTGAACTCTCTGCATCTCTTAAAAAGAGGTAGACCTCCCTGTTTAGAAAACCCTGCTCTAAATGTTCCAATATCAAATTTCAATGCAAGGTCCTCAACTTACAATCACAACTGAGATCAGAAAGTCATGCCCAGTTTTATAATATTTTTCGCCATGGTTGTTAAACGAATCACTGCAGTTATTAAGTGAATCGTACAACCATTAAGTGAATGCAGCTTCCCCCTTGATTTCACTTGTCAGAAGCAGGCCGGGGAAGGTTACATAAGGCGATCACATGACCCCCCCCCCCCAGGATGCTGCAACCATCATAAATACATGCTGGTTGCTTAGCGCCCAAATTTTGATCATGGGACAGTGGGAAAGCTGCAATGGTTGTAAGTGCGAGGAGCGGTTTTCAGTCACTTTTTTCAGTGCTGTTTTAACTTCGAACGATTGCTAAATGGATGGTTGTAGGTCGAGGACTATCTATCTATCCTGTAGTTCCCAAGTACGTGGGATGACGTAACTTTAACTTAGGATAGACGTGAAGCGCTCTGTCTAACCCTCCCCTCGCTCCCTTCTAGATAATATCTTGCAGATACCCAGAATCCCCCTCCATTGGCCATGCTGCTGGAGCTGCTAGGTCCTGTAGCTTTGGAACAACTTCAACTTCCCATGCAATCCAATCAACCTTATGAATCCAAGCAATAGAAATAGCACTTAGTCTTAGACTTATATACCGCTTCATGGTGTTTTACAGCCCTCTCTAAGCAGTTTACATATTGTCAAGTATATTGCCCCTGTGGAAAGGGAACTTCACGAGGACAGTGGTGTCACCCAAGCAGGAAAAGCCCAAAGGGAACATCAGGTCAGCCATAAAACAAACTTGCATAGGAAAAGGAATCAAATAAAAGGTATTAAAGAAGCCCCTTAGACAAAAGCCCAAATAATTAACAAAACTAGGGAAACAAGAAAACCCTTACAAACACAAGACATGCCAAATCAGCAAAACAAACAGACAAAAGACACAAAATATATTACAAAGGAGACAGACAGGAGATTGCCACAAAACAAATATAAGAAACCATTACGCTTTAAAACATTAAGAAATACAAGCAAACACTCCCAACAATCTGAGTCAGCATTTTACTGAACTTGGAAGGATGAAAGGCTGAGTCAAGCCTGAGACTCAGACTGCCTTTCAGAATAAATTATTTTTATTTATTAAATTTGTTTGCTGTCCATCTCTCTGCGATTCTTTCCACCTTTTCTAAAAGTTTCACTTTAGCATATTGTGTGAATGCAGTATGTATTATCTCCCGGGGTTCGGGACCATTCTCAACCTAAATGCCGACTAATCCAGATGTTTCAGGGACAGCCAGATTTGGCTTTTGGGTCAGATCAAGATAAACCTGAACACTCGTTATTTTATTCTGTATGGGTGGTGTTTTCCCAGCAGGAAGTCTCCTCCTAAATAGGATCGCACTTTGGGGCTTGCAATGCTTTGCATATATCTTGAGTAAAGAAGCCCTAGGCTCAAGCAGAATTTTGCACTTTCCCCCTCAAATAAAATGAAGACTTCACCCCCATGACGTTAGAGCTCTTGGCGTCTATTGGCTGCCTCGTTCTTCTTTCGGGTTCCATTCTCCTCCACCCGCAGAATCACTTTCGGTTTCCATTTCTCTGGCAGGGAAGGTTGATGTTATAAAATTGCGTGCAGACGTCTCATTCTGCTGATTGGGCGGAGAAGAGTCAGGGAGCCAGTTGGATCTTTTCGTGTTGAGAAGCGACGGAGCATCGCTGAATTAATAGCCTGAAAGTCGGGAGTGGCGTGCAGGTAATGACGGGGAGCAGCGTGCCAGGTTTTGGGGGGAGAGGTAAAGAGAAAAGGGGCTAGAACGGTTCAAGAAAGCAGGGCAGGATCTGAGCCAGCTGATCTAATCCCATTTGCCCTGAACATTATTAGTTCCATCTCTAGATCGCGCGACCGAAATAGTTTGGAGCATCGCTTCGGGTAGAAACTTGGCACAGATCTTTATAGGTTCTTTTCATTTCGAGAAGGTAATCACTAAAAAAAAGCAAATTAGAAAAAAACCTACAATAAATAGCTTTTCTATAGCGAGGCGAAGAGGATCTGCATATAAGTAATTTTTGTGCCTCCGTTTGAAGTTTTGGCAGCGTAGGGATCCAAATTTGCTGGATTTGAAAAATGCAGTTTGAGAGAGAAGGGGATTGTCGTGGATAGGATCTATTGCAATGGATCATACTCTGGCCTGCTGAATCACGTGTCTAATCGCGAATGAGTTGATTCAAGGTGGGGCATTTTGTTTAGTTTTTAATCAATAAATGTCAGAGGGTTAATGGCTTTAAAACTGCTTTGAAACACCAGCTTTGATTTGAGAAAGAAACGGGAGACACGTTCAATGTGGAAATAGATTCCTCCTCTCAAATCGTTTCCAACTTTCCTAAAAATTGACTTGTTCCAGATTAGCTGGATGGTAAAGGATCAGATCTGTTGGACGGGGTCTAGAATTAATCAAATTAATCGATGGGATTAAGTTATGCCAGTATTTCATTTTGTATATTTTCCTCTTTTGTTGTTGCAGGTTGAAGATGTCTCAAAAGGAGAAAAAAAGGTACGGAAGTATATGTATTGTGTGTGTGTGTGTGTGTGTGTGTGTGTGTGTGTGTGTGTGTGTGT